GCCGGCGGGGAGGACCCAATGGCGCCCAACCCACCACCAGCCCCACCTGGAACGGTGGCTACGGTCTCTGTCGATGGCGCATTGTCATTAATAGTTGACATTTGAAGGAATTAAAGTCGGAACCGTAAGAACTCGAAAAGGTGTAGATCGGAACTTAAAATGGTAAGGCTTCAAGTACAGCCTGTCACGCTGACTATTGGACAAGGCTGTATGCTCTTCTGCGTGAAGGCAGAATGGCTTCACCAGGAGAGCAGCAAGAACGAAGTCACCACTGCGAACCAGTTGTACGACAGTACCACAGAACCAGCCTTAGAAGCTCCGGTCGCTTCGCTCCGTCGCGTCTAAGCCAACGAAAACAGTCGTAACATTGAGATTCCCCAACCCTCCCATTCCGGGTTGGTCAGGGCATCGGTTATCTCCTGCCGTAAAACTGCATGAGCAATGGATCCCACTTGCTTTTGAAGGCGGTTCCAGAAACGGAGGATCTGCTTCACCATGTAATATTGTAAGGGGAGTTCAGCCAGCTCCGCATACAACAGCCTGTGGGATGGCCGTGCCGTCCCCACTACCTGCCGCATGAATAAAATCTGCAGCTGGACTGCGCTATCCTTCAAACAGGCTTCGAACATGCCCTCCGCAAGGTTGGCTTTATCCCGCCGCCTTCCCACCCTGTCCACGACCTCTGCCAGCGCAAAAGGGCCCCACGCCTGGCAGTCATACAACAGAATTGCTCGGACTTGGGTTGCAAAGCACTGCATTCGCACGTCGGGGGCAAACAGCTTCATTTTGTCCAACTTTGCGCTTAAGGAAAACATAGCGGACCGACCTGTATCACATAACTGCCGACGACACGCACTAAACAAGAAGTGCTTGTGGCGCTGTGACCCCGCCTAAGGTACGCATGAACCCCACTGCTGCAGCTTAACCAATTTGTCCTTCACTGCTGCATCAAAATGGTTATACCCTAAGATCTACTCGCATCCTTGAGGGTTATCCCTTTTCCAAGACTGCCGGGGTGCAATCCGGGCCCCAAACCTGCGCTCCATAATTAAGGTTAGAGCGATCCTGTGGTGCATTTAAACACTTCAGAGCTACATCCGACCGCAGAGTTTAAACCCTTTTATGCAATTTAGTGCGAGGGGCATACATAACTCGCCTACCAGCCACAACCAGTTCATCCGTGCACGACATAGAAGGCGCGTCCGGCCCATAGTAAAGCCCCAAACAACGAGCACGGGTCTTACATGGCATCCGCATGGAGAAAAAACGTATGCGCATTGAGGGCATAAACCTGTTGCCGTATCTGCGAATTGGGCTCAATGAACAACAACAACAACTCACTTGATAATAACGGACATTGACGGTTAAGCCAAAAGCTTCTGACCACTCAAAGCAGTTAGTTAATTAGCACCAAAGTGATTTCGCGAGCAGACTGAGGTAGCCTGCATAAAGCTTCGGCAAGCGGCGGTGTCTATATCCCCAGTAGCCATATCGTCAGCAGGGCCACGTTTAGAGCGTCAAATAGTACCCAAAACCGAAGAGAACAGAACCGAAAAGCGTGTGCTCGTCGTTCAATCCTGCTTCACGCCCTCTGCTGTCGGAAAAAGGTCCACTATCACCAAGCGACGGCTGGGAGCACTGCATGTAGTTTCTAGCAGCTTATGAAACTTATTGCATATATTATCGCCTTTAATGTAAGAATTTATTGCAGTCCGTGCCGAAGTCCGTTTCCGGCTGACCTCGAAGCCTACTGAAGGTAAGCTCCGCATCTACCTCCTTTTGCTGCCGCTGCCTTGTCCAAACTGCGATCGAGTAGCAAAATATATATATTTGTTCCTGTTATATTAATTTACCAATTTTCAAGCCGGTGTTTCATCACCATGTTCCATGTCCGTCCCTGGCAGCTTGGGCTTCTGCACACTCAATGGGCTGCGCAGCCAGCTTTCCGGCGAGCGGGCCGTCGCATAAAATTGCCACGTCTTCGAAACAAAAGCGCCAAACGTTCTTTCTCTGCCGATGCTACGGTCCCGCAAGGACAATCGCGTCCTCGCGTTCACCCCGGAGCGCATCAGCCGGTGGCAGAAGCTTGACTGGCGGGGGCTCAGCAGCAGATGCAGCAGCTGATGTTGTTTCGTCGACGTCCGCGCCGCCTTCCCCGTCCCCCGACCCCTCTCGTGTCTGGCTGACTGACCTAGTGTATCGGATTGCCGAGTACCTACCCCACAACGAGATAGCCTGCACCCTCCGACTCGTTAACAAAGCCACGGCGATTCAGTTCCGCGGGCCTCAATACACCACAGTACGGCCACAAGAGCCCGTACCACACCATTTTTTCGTGCGTTGCTGGGGACAGAAGAGGGCAGTCGACATGGCAGCGGCCAGCGACAGCGCTGGGGCCGGCAATGCCGGTGCCGACGCCACCGATTTGCGGTGCAATGGCGATGTACGGCAGCTTACGTGGCTACAGCGCATGACTCTGCTCCTGCGTACGGCGTCCAGTGGCAGCATCCCCAACATGCAGGTCAGGTTTTCGGGGTCAATATGATATGGACGGATAAGCAGCAAGTGCACATGATGGATTGTAATGAGGGACGCGGTGCGGCGGTGAGGCGGTGCGGCGGCCTATTGGGCCTACAACAACAATGCATTGACCTTTCATCGGCCGACTGTAGCAGTTGCTGCTCCTCGTCCGCCTGACAAGTGGAAAAACCCCAAAACCCTAAAACCCTGGAAACCAACCACAGGTCCTGCTGTCCCAGAAGGCGCGCTTCCCTGCCCACTCCGCCACGCTCACCTTCGCAGCGGACGCGAGCCATTTGGAGATGTGCATGTGGCTGCGGCAGCAGGGGTTGCCCTGGCCGCACAACATTGCCTGCGCGGCCGCACAGCGAGGCGACTTGCGGCTGGTGCAGTGGGTGGTAGGCAGCGGCGGAAGCTGGGGACTGGGCACATTGTGCGGAGCGGCGGAAGCAGGGCACCTGGACCTGTACCGCTGGCTGCTAGAGGTGGGCGGATGAAATGGTGACCTGAGACATGAGGACGGAGATGGCGTGTGATGCAATATGTGGTGCATCATGTTTCATATGAAAGATGAGATACGCTGTACAGTGTGTATTTCCGATCCATACCAGCCGTCCGCATCCAATCTCTGATGAAATAGTGCCGTACCTTAATAACCATACCGTGCCGTACTCCTTTCCGTACTTCCTTGCCTGTGTACAGAAACTCCGCAAGCGGCGCGGGCCCAAGCCCAAGATCATCATGGGCGTTTTGGAGGCGGTTGCGGAGGGGTGCGACCTGGCCACCTTGCAGGTGGGTAAGGCGCGAGGAGAAGGGGTAGCTGGAGAAGTGAGGGGAAGGGGTAGCTGCCGCGAGCGGCGAATGGGTGCAACAAGAGGGGTTGGTGGGTAAGGCTTCATGGTTGAAGGGTGCACTGCAGTTGCGCAGCTGCGGTTGCGCAACTGCGGTGGGTATACAAGGAGCGATGTCGACAGGTAGCGGTAGCGAACTGCGAAATGGCCAGACCTGCCAAGATGTTGTTCAGGGTAATAAAGGCAGGAAGAGTAGCGGCTGGCGACTAAGCTCAAGTTATACGATTTCCCAAACTCGAGGAGGGGAAGCACCGCCATCTCCCCGTCCTGGGTGATGCAGTCGTGTTCAGAGGAGGTTCACCGCAGTCGCCCCGGAGTGCCCCGGAGTGCTAAACAACATCGATGGGAGGTAGAGAGAAGGCGACAGCACGGGGTGGACCGCCGTTGCAGCACGCCTGGCGTGGTATTCTGTGTGTGTGTATGTGTGTGTGTTACATGTTTGGGGTTGCGTGACCCCATACCTATAGAACTCTACCCATACGAGCCGAAGGCCCAAGGGCAAAATACCTAAACGCCTAAAAGCCACGGAGAAAAGGAAACACCGCACTATCAGCCCAGTCTAGCGCCCAACGGGGATAACTGATTTGCGGTGAACCCACATATGCTCCAACATCCTCACCAGACGTGCTGGCTCCCATTTCATGAACTCCAAAATGCTCTGTTGATAATCGAATCTTTCTTCTGCACGAATATCATTATAGGCTGGGCATTCCAATAACACGTGTTATCATCATCGACTTGGCAATTGGTGCCACAACAGCGGCAAAACCGCTGCGCCCTGGGGACATGGTACTTGTGCTCTATTTGCCTCAAATGCCCAACAACATAAACGAAACTGCATTAGCTTACGATGTGCTAAACGAGGAATGAAAACCGTAGCATGTGTTGGCCACATAACGGCTGCGGCTCCCGAAAAGGGCAGCCCCTCCATACTTCATCATCTGTACTCCCATCTGATGGGTATTCCTCTAGCAAGACAGTCAGATGCGCATGGTCCCAGCCGCTCATCAAACGCTGTCTTAGTGCCGTTATCATCGCTCCTTCGGGTAGAGGTCTACTCAACAACCAGTCAACACGCTCCTTTACCCCCACGACTTCTTGCGGTATTCCGCTCCAAATATTGCACTCCAAGAAGGAAAACAGCGATAGCATCGAGGTTCCCCAACCCTCTGGGTTGGTCAGAGCATCGGTCCCGTAAAACTGCATGAGCAATGGACCTTACTTGCTTTGGAAGGCGGTTCCAGAAACGGAGGATTTGTTTCGCCACGTAATACTGTAAGGGGAGCTCAGCCAGCTCCACATACAACAACCGGTGGGATGGCCGTGCCGCCCCCACTACCTGCCTCATGAACATAATCTGCAGCTGGACTGCGCTATCCTTTAAACAAGCTTTGAACATGCCCTCCGCAAGGTTGGCTTTATCCCGCCGCCTTCTCGCCCTGTCCACGGCCTCCCCACAGCCTCTGCCAGCCCATGCCCGGCAGCCATACAACAGAACTGCTCGGACTCGGGTTGAAGGACACCGCATTCGCACGTCAGGGCCAAACAGCTTCAACTTGTCCAGCTTTGCACTCAAGTAAAAACATAGCGGTCCGTCCTGTGTCACATAACTGCTGACGGCACCGCTAAAAGGCCGTCCTGGCCCGTATACCAAGCCCAGATAGCGAGCGCTATCTTTGGCAGGTATTACCTGGCCTGATAGCCGTAACTGTTGACACCTCTCGCTACGTTCCGACTGCTGGTGCCATCATATGCGAAAACAAACCTTGAGACATTTGGTCGTATCCCAAAGGCTTCGCAAAACAAGTCTACGAGATGTAGCAACTCAGACATTCGCTCTAGTGACGTCGCTAGCAGACCAACATCGTCTGCGTACAGCAGTATGGAGACGCGCATGCTGTCCACAAGGGGTGTGTCACGCTTACGTACTCCAGCTTCTACAAGGTCATGCGTATCAATCCGATCAGGTAGGAGTGTCCAAACAGCTCTGTAGATAGAGGACACCCTTGCTTCACTCCTTGCTTAGACTCACACTCTCCTCCCGCTTCCTCATTCACCTTTATCACCATGGGCACTATCCCAGAGCATCTGGCATGGAACCGCCAACCCCCCTCTCCTGCAACCAAAGTCACATATGCTTTCGGGACACCCTACCAAGAAGAGGCCTTCTCAAAGTTAATCTGTACTATTCAACAATGGCTGCCCCGCGCTCCGATGTCCTTGACCAGGTGTTGCGTGACAAAGAGGTGAGGAGCGGTACCGAAACCCCGCCCGAAACCCGCTTGGCATGGGTGCCGTAGGTCCAGTATTTCCCCGGCATGTACCAGATCGTGGAGAATCACTGCCACTGCCCCATAGCACCTTGCAAATGCTCCTCCCACTGCAATGCCCTGCCACCAACGGGTCACCCTTCTTCAAAATTGGCGATACCAACGTTTTGGTAAACTGGTGTGGAAAGTCACCAGTCACCATTATATATGTATCAGAGTTTTGGAAAATACTTCTAATCGCTCGATGACGGGATCGAACCGTCGACCTTACGGTTAACAGCCGTGCGCTCTACCGACTGAGCTAACCGAGCAGAATCCATATTTGGCTCACTTGTAGATCTAAATCCTATTATATACTTATCTTTGCCGCGGCAGAACCTGGTGGCCAACCTGCTCCCCGCGGGCGAGTGGCTATGGCAAGATGTAACCGCACATGCCGCCGCCAGCCCCACGCCCGACTGGCGCCGCAAGGTGATGTGGTTGGAGGCGCAGGGCCACAATCGCAGCAATAAGGCAGCGGAGCGGGTGGTGGAGAGGTGGGGCGGGGTGCTGGCCTGTGGGGTTTGGGGGTGAGGCCGGGGGAGGCTGGAGGGAGAGAAGTGGCGGGAGAAGGGGGCCAAGATCCATGGGCTGATTTAGAACAACCTTCACACGATCCATCATCAATTCGCATTTGAGAACATGCCACATCTGTTCCATGCAGCGCTCCGCCTAAGGATTTCTTGTCGTTCATGTCGTGTTCATTCATCTCACATTTGCGTGTCGTGCGCTCATCACCAATCCCCATAACGCGTAACCTGCAGGGTGATGGATGCTGCAGACGTACTGGAGCCGGGGGAAGGCGGCGGCGCGGCCGACGAAGCACACGCAGGTGGCGGCGCCGGTGGCGGCGGGTTCAACGATAGCAGCAACAACGGCATCCCCGGTGGCGGCGGAGTAGTCGCCATCGGTGACCGCCGACCTGCCGGGGAGGGCGATGACGACGGCGACGGCTCGGAGGACGGCAGTAGCAGTAGCAGCAACAACACCTGCCTGGGTCGGCTAATGTGGCTGCGGCGGCGAAGATATCCCATGACAGTTAAGGCTGTTCAGGCGGCGGCACGCGTCGGTAACCTGACTGCGTTACGGTACCTGCTCGGCCCCGGCGGCGGTGTACGACTGGACGTGCATGTACGGGAGGGCGAGCTCGTGGACCTGGCGTGTGCGGCGGCGCTGGGCGGCAGCTTGGTTGCCCTTGAGGTAGGTAGGGTGTGTGGGCGGGGGAGATCTGCAGGCTTCGGTGTATTGATTGACGGGTTAAAGCTGCCGGTAGTTGAACCTCGTTTCTTTTCCGGCGAGCGCTCAGCTGGAGCCGCACATTGCTCACTGTCCCAAGAGCGTTTCCCGCCCGGCCTGCATCGCATCGTTCCGCTTGCCTCACTCGGCACACGTACACACATACACAGATACGTACACCGTCCTTCAGCTGGCTTTATTCCGTCCATTATCGTTACATCGTCACTTTTCCCGTACGACGGAATGTCGTCTCCTTCCTAGCGCTAAACCTAGCTGCCCAGAACCGCTTTTACATTTACAGAAAAGTCCGCAAGAGAGAGAGAGAGAGAGAGAGAGAGAGAGAAAGAGAGAGAGAGAGAGAGAGAAAGAGAGAGAGCGCTGAAACGACCGTTTCGGCAGTTCAGAGCCTTCCGTTTGGCGAGCTTTTGTTTTCCTATGTAAATACGCCTGTATGCATCTGGACCTCGTAATTGATGTATGTACGTGTGTATGTATGTGGGGGCACGGGACGTTCTACAGCTGCTGCAGTCCCACGGCGTCCCCGTCACGAAAACCCGGGTGCTGAAGATGGCTGTGCTGGGGGTTAAGCTGCCGGTCATTAAGTGGCTGGTGGACAAAATCAAAGCGTTGGGGGCCCCAGCCGCCGCAGCCGCCGCCGCTCACGACGGCGGCCCAGCGGCAGCGGCCGCCGCGGCGGCTGCAGGCCCGGCGCCGGACCTTCCAACCCAGACCGGCGACGTCCCTGTCACCACCGCGGACGCAGTACGACAGCAGCGGCCGCAGCTATGTCCGGCACTGGCGGCAGCGTTCGTCAGCGGTGGCGTGGTGTTTCCGGAGCTGGCCAAGGAACTTGCCGTACTGGCCGTCATGGGCTGCTGCCCGCTGAACCTGCCGCGGCTACCGCCACTGGCGGGAAATCCGCTGCAACAGCCGCAGAGACCGCGGCAGTTGCCGCCAGCAGTTAATGACCCATGGGTCCCCCGGCTGGAGCTGCTGACGTGGCTGTACGAGCAGGGACTCTTGGAGCTGCACGCGGGGGTTTTCAAGCTAGCGGCGCAATACGGCGATTTGCGGGTGATGACGTGGCTGTACGAGCGATCATGCCCATGGGACGCCCGCACCTTTGCGGCGGCTGCGTACGCGGGCGGGGAGGTACAGCTGGAATGGCTGGCACGACACGGATGTCCCATGGGGGTGAGCCACGTCTGTCCGGTGTTGTGCCGTACATTGCCGTACCATTTACTGCGTCGTGCCAGAGGCCATCCATGTTGGTGCTCCGATGCATTGAATGGTGATAGATGGTGGCTCGTCCACTACTTGTTTGTGTGCCGTACCGTGCCGCCGTAACGTGTTGTGCCGCACCGCACCGTATTTTGTGTTCGGCACGTCCCCCTCCGCTTAACTCCTCTTTCCGTACCCCGTACCGCATCCCGCTCCTCTCCCTTGTCCGCTCTCCATGCAAACTTCCAGGAGGATGGTGAGCCGTACATCCGGGCAGCGGCCATGACCGACCTCGCCACCTTGCGCCACCTGCGCCGCCTGGGGTGCCCCTGGAGTCCTTGCGGCCGTACATTCACACAGGCTGCTCTGGCCAGCGGCCCCGGCAACGCGCACATGTGTGTCGCGTCGCTTCAAGTGCTACTGGCGGTGGGTTGCCCCGTAGACTGGGCGGCTCTGCGGGCGGCGGTTCAGGACAAGGCCGGCGTCAGCAAGCAGCGGCGGCGGGTGCTTCAGGAGCTGCTGGCGCAGGAGCAGCGGCGGCGGTGGCGAGGGGGCTTGTGGCCGTGGCGGCAGCGGCGGCAGGGGGGGGAGGGGGGACAGAATGGAGGAAGTGGAGCAGATGAGGGTGGCAATGTGGATGGGGGTGCGGATGGCGCCGCTGAATGGGGAGGAAGAGGAGGCTGTGGGGAGGACGTTGTGGTGGGGGCGGCTGTGATGGCGGGGCTGCGAGCCGCTGCTGCGCAATTTTAGCTAATAGAGACGTATGCGGTTATGTGGCGTCTGCGCGCGCGCGTGCGTGTGTGTGTATGTGTATATATATGTGCGTGCGTGCGTGCGTGCGTGTGTGTGTGTGTGCGTGCGTGCGTGTGTGTGTGTGTGCGTGTGTGTGTGTGTGTGTGTGTGTGTGTGTGTGTGAACGTTACAAGTATCTGATCGGGCCTGACACTGGCCAGGGACTGCTGCCCAGCTCCAACGGAGAGGCCGCCTAACTCTCTCCCGCGGACAGGAGAGGGGCCTCTGTCCCCTCCTTAGCAGCCGAGAGCCGCAGGTCCACTGGTTCCGCTCTCCTTCCCCGGGGTTGGGAGGCGTCGCACGCGCGCACGCTCCCACGAGTCAAGGCGAGCGAGTCACGCAAGTTTGCGCACTAAGTTTGCGCACTGAGCCTGAAACACGAAACAAGATTCCTCTCCCTCCCCGGCCTAATCTGTTTCTTGGGATGAGGGTTCACTAAGAGGAAACCCGGAAACCCTGTACATACCCTAAACCCCTCCCTATTAAAGCACGAGGCCGTAGTATAAAGCTCGGTCTCTCACCCAATTCTCCCTTGCAGGGAAGCGGGCTGGGTTCAAGATACTCGCGCTAACCACCTATCGAGTGCACACGACGGGGGCCAGACACGGACTAGGCTAGCATCCATCAGTTCACCGACGGGGCTAGGGATGCCTCGAGGCAGCACCAAACCACACCACTCGAGGCACAACTCACACAGCGTCACCCAGTCTGCTCTACAGCCACCCCTGCGCCTGCGACTTCTCCCAAGCCTTACAGCAACGACCCCTCAAAAAAAACCCCACTTTCCCTGCCTGGTGCAATCTGTGGCGAGGCGAGTCCTCTCCCTCGAAGAGCCCTCTACCCAGACCCAACAAAGAAGAACCCTGCGGGGCTATCCCCTCCCCGCCCAGCGGGATACCTCATCTACCGGGGTCCTCCCAGCACCCCTTCTATTCCCCCTCCCCTTCCTCTTCCAGCCCAACTGGCTGTACGCAACACAGCCGCCCGTCCACCACCGATAAAATCCGATGGTCGGGGCCCACGCTGTCCCAGCCGCGCTGGGGCACGCCTAGCTCTACAAAGCCCTGAACCCGCTGTGTTGTGTGTGCGTGTGTTTGTGTGTGTGTGTATGCAAAACCCGAAGTTACCGACCAGTAAGGTGTGGGTCATATCTAACCGGTCGGTTATCGACCCTTAGATGCCATAGGGAGAGATGTATGCAGGGAAATGGGGGGAGGGATGGGTGTATGGCGGGGTGTATGGCGGGCGGAATGTTGGGAGGGAGGGCCGTAATTCGCGACTTAGTCCAGAAGTGTCGAGTCGACCCAAGGAAGAAGCTGCATGGACCCAGCTGTGAGGATCCCGGGAGGCTCGCTGCCCTGTTGAAGCCGGTGGGTTGAAGAGTGCATTTTGAGCGGTTAGATACGATGGGTCAGGCCGGTCAAGCCGATCTAGTCGCTGCTTAGAGGATTCTTAGCTGCACATCAACGGCTGTGATGTGACTGGTGATGGTCACAGTCTACATTCAGATGTCAGAATCTGGAGGGCCAGGGAGGAGGAGCTTGCCGCTGAAGTGGTCAGTGCCCCTTTCACCCTGTACAAGGTTAGGCAGGCAGCGAAGAACCTCCCAAACGGGAAGAGGTCTTGAGATGTGTTCTTCTGGCAATTCTGGGCAATTACCGCAGCACAACGTAAGAGTAACACACACACACACACACACACACGCACACACACACACTGTGGCAATTTAGGTTTGGCCTTCATCGTGAAATCGGATGGTGGGTACGTCAAAATCCAATGAGGGCGTATGGGAGGTTTGAACGGGTAATGAAAAGAGAGACTCATAATTCTAAATTTCGTCGTCGCCACTGAAATCATGCCCGATATCCCACCAGCATGGCGTCGACGCCACCTACCCACTAAACCCCAGGGGTTAAAATTACAGGACTGCACGAATTATTCTCCGCTGCTCCTGCGTCCGGTAATGGCACCGCTCAGTAGAGCTTACAGCCCCTTCCCCCCACCCACACCCAAGATGGCGACATCCGTATGCATGTGCGTTACGCAACAACACTCCTTCTTCTCCTCCTCCCCTCCCGCCTCGCAACCATGCGAGTATTGCTACTCGCAGAGCCCTAGCACGGGAGCTGCTTGTTTTCTCTCTAAATATCTTCATCACGGTCGGTCATAATCAAAGGTCGTATCAGTCTCGTCGGAGCCTTCCCACGCCTCGACAATGCCTCCCTCAGCCTTGGACTGGGGTAAGACCTAAGCCCCGTACGCTATATGGATGTTTCCCACGAGGCGGGTCCCCTTCCGCTGCCCTTCTTTGTCTGGATGGGCCAGCAGATTGACCTCAGGTATCAGGCTTCCTAGCGACCTAGCAGTCGAAGCCCCCTTTCACAGCCTAAGATAGTTAAGTAACTAGCTATACATGACTGATGTCAGGGCGGACTGGTGGTTGTACTGCTCCAGGGAGCGCACCCCGAACTCAATAGCGCCTACAAGCACCTCTGCTACGCGCCGCTGCACGCCCCCCGCCTCGCGCGTGCATACGACGCTGCTGTCGTACTCGGCCAACGACGTGGCCGCGCCTACAGCCGCAGCCGCGCCACCTCCGTTGCCAGGGTGGTAGTGGATGTGGCTCCCCTGCTGCTGATAAGGGTACGGCTGCTGACGGAGGTTTCGGAGCGCTCCGACATCGACTACAGCATCCGCTACCAGCGCCAGCGGAATTACTGGCGGCAGCAAGTAGTCTGGGGAGAGCGGCCCCGCCGGAGGCGATGCCGCCGCCGCCGCTGCCGGTGTCGTCAGCCCCGCCTCCGTCCGCAGCGCGGCGCATTCTTCTGCCAAGCGCGTCAGATCGCTGAGTGCGGCCCAGCGGCGTGGCGCGTCCTCCTCCCTGGAGCTCCACAACAGGGCAGCACAGCTCCGAAGCCGCGCCTCACAGCGACCCACGTGACCCGCCATACGGTCGATCACCGCCAGCTGCGACCTCACTCGCTCCAGCTGGGCCGCCAGGCGGCGGCTGCGGCCTTCCGCCGCCTCAACAGTGGCAGCATGTGCGGCCGCCGCCGCAGCAGCAGACGCAGCTGCTGCAGCACCACCGTTATCGGCTTCAGAGCCCTCTTCTGATGCAATGCTAGGAGCGTACGGCGAGGGAGAAGGCGACGCCGCCGCTGCTCCGGCGCCAGTGGTCGTGGCGACGGTGCCGTACCAGCCGCTGCCGCCGCTGCCGAGCCATGAGGTCCAGAGGCTCCTGGCGGAGGACTGGTGACCGCCCCCGGCGACCGCGGAGGGTGCTGAGTTGGCCGGATGGAGGTTCAGAGATACACCTGTTGTGTTTTCGTGGTATTTTGGTTGGGGGAGTGTAGGGTTTGGAGCATCTATTCGCGCCTCAGAGTACTGTTATGTACACATGTACACATACATGTATACAGACATACTACGACCCTAATCTAACTTGTGGCTCAAAGGCTCTTGGGCCTCTGGCTTTTAAGGGCTCTGGTTGAGGTGTAATAAACGAATACTCATAAATCGTGCACGGTATCAGCTTGCGTTAGCCTTCAACTCCTCACCCGGGCTGTGACTGAGATCTCGACTGTTGCGCTCCGAAACCATAGAGCCCTGTCGTTGAGCTACCGCCGCCGGCCCTGAGGGAGCCGGTAGCCCGGGGTAACCCGTACCATCCCCCGCCGCCGCCACGGACTGTGCCAGCTGCGCCGCCTTCAGAAGCGCCTCCACTTTTTCCTGGGTGGCCTGGGCCAGCTTGATCTTGAAGTCGTGTGCCATAGTGCGGAGAACCTGAAGGGTTCCCGGGGCCGAGCGGGGCATGAAAAACGTGGCGTGGTGTGGCGCGTAGGGTAGGGTTAGGGAAAACCCACGCGGACCCTCAGCGGTCAGGACATTGGGATTCTGAGGAGGGAACAAAAAGAGAGAAAGAGAAAGGGGGGGCTGAAAAGTGTGGAGGTTGAGGCTACCAAGGCGTCTTCTCTCCTACCCAGCCCACAGACCTCGTGTGCCTCGTTCAGCGTCGCCTTCTTGATTGCAAGGTAACGAGAAGTTCCCGCTATGGATGCCGCTCTCCGACCCCATCTGCATTCCGAGACCATTTCCGGCCCGTCCCCCCCACTGACACAGCGTGGACCAGACGACTCCACGCACAAAACCGACCTGCAGTTGCTCGTGCTCGTCCTCGTGTACGGCACGTTCCCGCGTTAGATCCTCCCGGGCCTGAGCCAGCGCTGCCTCTAGCTCCTGAATCCGGGCTTGGGCATCCATGACGGACCCGTGGGTCGTTATCGGCGCCGCCGCCTCCGCCGCCGCCGGGCCCCCTGGCGGCAAAGCCTCAACCGCTTCTGGCGCGGGTGGCTCCGCTTCCGGTAACGATAGCGCCGGCTGCTGCTGCTCCTCCGCAGCTGCCTCCGCGGCAGAGACAGTGATGGCCGTTGCGCTGGAGACGCTGAGGATCCGGCGGCCGGCAAGCGGCGCAGGCGATCGCGGCGCCGCCGCAGCAGCGGCGGTGGCTCTCATAGCCCTGGATGCTGGCGGCGTAGGTGAACACGCCGGTGGGGAGGTGGGTGAGGAAGCCGAGGCAGAGGAGGGGGATTGCGGCAGGGTGCATAGCGTGGGGCCCGTTGGCCGCGCCCCAGGCGAACGACCGCCCGCCGCGGCGGCAGCGGTGTTGGTGGTGGACATTGACGAGCCGGGGTCGGCCTCGGCACCAGTGGCAGCTCCGCCGGCAGAAGCGGCCCGGCTTGGCCCCGTGGGGCTTACGGGGACGGCCTGGGGGGACTGTGAGAACAAAGCGGCAGGGCGGATGGGGAAAGACGAACCACACACGATTGAAGCTGCTGCCAGGGCAAGAGAGTAACAAACGTAGAACTGACCGAAAGGCGTCCGGATGGGGAACATACCGGTGAGACAAACCCCGTCCTGCTCGGAAACAAGGAGGGTAAGGAAGTGGATTTAAAGGGACC